GTGTTAACTATAAATAATCGTGTTCGTTATATTTAAAAATTTTTTTATTCTTACTTTAATTAATTCAGAAATTATTGTTTTTAACATTTTAAATTTATTTTAAATGCAAAATAAAAAAATAATAATAATAATTGTATTAAAAATTATATAACACAAATATCCTCCAACAATTCTTTTGGCAAATTAAAAAAGGGGGCAAATTGGACTTTACACCATTTTGAAAAATTGGTGCAAAATTTGGTGCAACATTTCAGCACTTTTGCACCAAATTTTGGTGAAATTTAATGTTTTTGTGTTGCCATTGGAGATGGCCTAAACATCTATGTCCTAATGGTAAATGCACAAATGTTCCCTCAAAACTTGCCATAAGTCGTTGTTCTACTAGTTGATTAGAGAGACTAACAGCTTAAGCTCAGTACACTCCATAACATACCATTGTCAAAGAGCTTAATGAACAAAAATGTACTCCCAAATTAACAAATCAGTATTTTTTATTTTAGGAAATGGATTATCCTAATAGTTTAATCATCACAACTTGATTTTAGGACAATAAACATTTCAAATATATTTAAAGCACTAAAAAACACAAGTTATCGTACACAAAAAACTAAACATTTCAACATAAAATCGAATAAAAACCATAAAAAATTGTAAAATATTGAACACTTTTGGCTAATCTTGGTTTTATAAACTTTTGAAGAAATTTTTTTCTTCTTTTAACTTCCTTCTTCACGAACATGGAGGAGATTCTGATTTTGTAGGTTATGATTTGGAGCTTTTAGAGGTTTGCTGATTAAGAGTTTCTCGGAGAGGAGTCGGATGAAATGACGAGAAAATCTTGGATGATGAGGGTTTTTCTTTGGAGCCTTCTAGAATGGGGCCTGTTGAGGAGAGAGGGTTTCTATGGAGGCTACCAATTTAGGTTTGGATTTCAGTAGTTTAGAACGTATTAATTACTTGTTAAACAAATTTAATTAATTTAAGTGTGTTATTCAAATTATTTACTCCCTCTTTCCTAATTATATAGGCTGAGTTTTCTTTTGTCTCTTGTCTCAAATATATAGGCTTGTTTTTTAATGTAGAATATTTTTTTGTGTTCTTTTACCAACATACCCTTATTAAATTTTCCTCACTTAATATGCAAACTTCTTGAAA